CCCCCCAGTCTTAAAGGGGGCCCAGTTTGGAGGCCCCTGTGACCATAGGTGCCCTCTATGCAAGGCAAGGCCTAGCCTGGAAAGGGGGGGGTGTCTGCCCCGGGGAGGGGCCCTGCAAGCAGCTGCGCCAGGTGTTCTTCCGTCTCCTCCTCCCTCTCCCAGCGCTAAGTGCGGGATTGGCACCAAAGGAAGGCGAGAAATCTCCGGGCGGGAGAAGCTTGCTCGCTCTGCGCCTGCGCGTCCCTCCGCTCCCTCTGGAAGACCGAGAGCGCCGCCTAGATCGCCGCCCACTTCCGGGAAGGGGCTTCCGGCCATGGCGGCGCACCTGAGGCTCCGCGGGGTGCTGGCGCTGGTCACCGGTGCGGGGAGGGGGGGTGGGGCTGTCGGTGCGGCGGGGGGGGGGGGGCAGGGGAGAAAATCCCGGGCCGGGCCTGACGGGTCTCCCTCCCTCCCGTCTCTTCAGGGGCCGGGAGCGGCATCGGGCGGGCGGTGAGCCTCCGCCTGGCCCGCGAAGGCGCCACGGTGGCGGCGGCGGACGTGGACGAGGCGGCGGCGGGCGAGACGCTGCGGGCGATGCCGCCGGGGGACCACCGGGCCGCGCGGGTGGACGTGAGCTGCGCCGAGAGCGTGGCGGAGCTGCTGCGGGGGCTGCAGGTGCGGAGGGGGGCGTGGTTTCCGGGCGAGGGGGCGTGGTTTCCGGGCGAGGGGGCGTGGCCCGAAACTCCCCACCGGGCTCCTCCTCACTCCCCCGCCCCCTCCTTTCTGCGCAGGCGCGCTTCTCCCGTCCGCCTACGGTCTGCGTGAACTGCGCGGGGATCACGCGCGACGAGTTCCTGCTGCGGCAGAGCGAGGCCGCCTTCCAGGCCGTCCTGAGCGTCAACCTGAAGGTGCCGACGCCGCCTCAACCCCCCCCACGTGTCCCTCGGAGAGAGGCTGGGGGAGGCAATGGCCTGGGCTGGGGGGGGAGAGGCTCCTGCTTGGGCTGGGGGCTGGGCTAGATGGCCTCTGGGGGTCCCTTCCGGATTCTATCCCTGTTCCTAGTTCCCTCTCCTCTCCAGCCCTCTGCTCCATCCCGATCTCCTTCTCTGGCCTTCTGGCCTCCTCCGCTCCCCTTCCTCCTCCTGCTTGCCTCTTTTTTTGTATTATAGTCTATATTCTTTAATCTACTTTCTATTCTATTCTATTCTTTATTCTACATTCTATTTTCTATTCTTTATTCTACATTCTATTTTCTGTTCTATATTCTGTTCTGTTTTCTATTCTATATTCTATTCTATTCTTTATTCTATATTATATTCTGTTTTCTATTTTATTTGCTATTCTATATTCTATTCTGTATTCTATTCTATTCTTTATTCTATTCT